CAGGAAGCAGCAAGTACACGGAACCCCACAAGCCTTTGGGTTTCTCTAGCAATAGTTAATTTCTAAAGAATTTGGGAATTCCAGACTCAGGAAAGGTATGGGCTTCTCTGTGGAGCGGGACCAGCACAGCAAATGAGGTGTCTCTAATACAGGTTACCATTTGTGGCCTTTCTTCCCCCCTTCCTAATTATTTCCCTCTATGCGTTGGAATTTTGAGGCTGATGCTGAAACGGGAATGGTGCTCTAGTGTACTGGAAAGATCCAGGTTTTCACCATTAGCTCCCATGTAACATTTAGTTTATTAAGACAAATGGAATTACTTTCAGTTTTGTGCTTTAGAGGAAATTCTAAATTGTTGCAAAGATGAGGTGGTCCTAAGTGAGTGGCAGATGCTTGCTGAAGAGAGTGGTTAGGTATTTACCGAACTTGCTATCAGATCCCCTCTGAGCCTGCAAGCCTTTTGTCACGCAGTAGCCACGTGAGATATGCCACATAATAGGATTCGGGGCACATAAGTGCTACGTAACTAGTTAGTATTATCAGGGAGAATTTCAAGAAGGGAAATTCCCAGATCTTTGGATAAGGATTAGCCTGTGCAAGTTCTTGCCTGGATGCATATTTGAGTATGTGAAATCATACAGCCATTCTCATGTGGTAGGTTGGTGGTGGGTCTGGGCTGTTTCAGAGCACTGCAAATGCAGAGCTGGTGTCTTCGTTCCGTTCTACTTCTGGGAAATGGGCTAAAGTTGAGCTGTTGCAGATACTTGGGTCTGAGCCCATCTTTGTGTGTGACAGATGCATTACTGGTAAATCTATAATTGCCTGTAGCAAACTGCATCAGACGTTTCCAGCCTCTTCCACCCACTTGTCAATGTGACTAACGATTTAATTATCACACTACTTAACACAGCGCGTGAGCATTCCTAAGTAAGGTACATCTTCATGTATTCCCCCTCCTGCTCTGCCAGCGTAGGCAGCACCCTGTACAAAGTGCCTGCTGCAGCTGCTGTGTGCGTGCACGTGTAAGGGGATGAGCATTTTACACACTGTTGCTCATTTCTTACAAGCTGCTCAGGTATGTGAGAAATAACCCAAGTGTACACCTGTATTGTCTTCTAACTGGCAGATCAGGGACTTTTGACTCAAACTAGCTTGGCAACTGGTTGGCGAGATCATTGGGGGATTCCTGCCTGTGCATTTTATGGGGTCCTGTGGCAGAAGATTGGGAAAGTAGCGTGGCTTCTCTTCACCCCTGCCAGTTTCTGTCTCTCATGCCTTTGGTTGTGTCCCTCTGCTGTACTTGTCTTTCAGATGCCTGAGATGGCCTTGTCCTTAGTGAACAAAGTCTCTGGGAAATTAACTTCCCACACATTCAAGGTGGCTTGTTGGGAAGGAGAGAGCACAAACCTGAAATGGATACATCTTTCACAGGAGAAGAAAAGTTGGGTCTGCTGAAGACTGGGGGAGTTCAGGGTTTGTAGTTATGGCTGCTGCCCCTTCTCCACCTGAAGAATTTGTCAGGCTTGTACTTGTTCTGTTGTTCCTCCCCCAAAGCACCACTGGTGGTGGTGTGGTGGCTCTGGCAGGCCTGCCCTTTGAGGAAGGTGGAACGAGCAGAACTTAGAAAAACCTGCCTGTGGGCATTTCTTGGACCTTTTTTGTAAACCTGAAACAGGTGAGCCCAAGATTTGCTGCAGCACTAAAGTACTTGTATTTACACTGTTTGTAGGAAGCCTGTTTTGCCTTGCTGGGGAAGTCTGTTGCACTGGCAGGAGTTGGGAGTTGCTCTGTTTCAGCTGCAGCTGAAGTGCCTTAAACTTTCTGCAAACTGGCAGTAACAGATGCCTGATTGCTCCTTCTGTTGCCAGAGGTCCATGTGGTTTATCACCTTAAACTCAACGCATCAGCTTCTGCACTTCCAGCTTGCTGACAGCCTGCCCAAGGACCTGTGGTCTCCTGGTGTCCATCCCAGTGACCTTTGCTACAAGGACCATTTGTTTAGTTATGTTTGGAGAAAGCTGTTGTGTCCTGAAGGACCCATCTGACTTACTGTATTTCAGTTTTTGCAGTAAAATGTACGTGTTGAGTAACTTCTTTTGGGGGCGTGTTGCTCAAAAAAGGCAACGACAGAACCACGCTCACTTTGCTCAGTCTCTCTTCTGCAGTTTCCTGTCACTTAATTTCCTTTCATAGCTGATATTCCTGAGGTACCTTTTCCCTGAGCTTTGAAATCAGTTGCATTACGTGATCTTTGCATAAGCTGCGCCAGGAGGTTCTGTTGGAATTGTAATGAGATTAACTTCTTTTTTCTTGGTTGTAGGTGGGATGCTGTTCCTACAGATGCCGTACAGCTGAGGCTGGCAGAGGGGAAGGTGTGCTTGTGTTTTCCAGCTATATCCCATTGCAGCTCTGGTCTGGTCGGCTGCAGACCTCCAGGGTTTTCTCACCCATAGCAACTGCTCAGTCTCTTGTTTCCTTCTGAATATACTTTGTTTGGATAATCTTCCCCCAGATGTAAGATATTTGCTATATATATGTAACTTGAATCTCATGGTCTTCGTAATTATAAGCATGTAGATGCCTTGTCATTTCTTCCATCTCAGTGTGGGCTGCTCTTCCCTTGTGTTAGTAACATAATCAATGTAGTGCCTTCACTCTGAAAACCATGAATGAGATCTTTGAACTAAGGCAGATACTTGCTGTGATTTGGTTTAAATGACAGTGTTCCTACCCTTATCCAAATTCATCATTTTTGCAGGATTTTGCAAGAGGCAGAATGGCACATTGCCTCTATGTTGTGTGATTTCTTTAAATGCTTGAGTAAAAAATTCAGCATAAGGTCAGGTGTAATGTTCTTCAGCCATATTCCAATAAACCTGAGTGGGCAGCGGCTGTTACTCCCCTTGGGGGCATCTTGCTGTGAGAATTACTGCCCTGCTTTTTAAAGCGTAGTAAAGGCAATGCTATGGGGTGGCTAAATCTGATTGTAGCTACTACTGTGATCATTTTATGGAAGAATTTGTATGATACTGTAAATAGCAATGGGCAAGGTAACTCTGCTTTTCAAATAGGAAAAAGGAAGATTAACCTTTTGAATTAGTATTCTGGTTTTCTACAACAGTTTCAGATTCCTTAATCCCATTTCCATGAGATTTTGCCATCTAGATTTTTTAAAAATTATTGTTGCCAGATGACATTTTGCCAGCTACTCCCCTTGCAGTGGAGGAAGTGAACAATCCTTAGCAGAACGCATCTGAGTTCATGTGTTCCTGCAAGCTCCTTTATTCTAAAACTGATGTGCTCTCTTTGCTGGCTGGAAGGACGACATCTTTGTATGGAAATAGTTACGATGCACAGCAAATAAACTTTTATGGGTAAGTTACTTTTAAAATAGATGTGTATAATGCTGAACAGCTCTTTAACCCTCACCACGTTGCGAGGAGGTCCACACATTGTTTCTTGCTCTGAGCATTAAAGCAACTTCCTAAGGTAGCAGGATAAGAGCTAACCAGGCTTTGTTGTACCTGGTTTTAGGGATTTGTGCTTCAGCTCCTGATGTCTCCTGTAAGTGTAGGATCACCTGTCCTGAAGTGAACGTTCCCCATAGTCCAGCTCTGCTTTCCCGTCTGTGGTTGTGATGAACTTCGAAAATGAAATATTGGAATGATGATGGTGCGCATTATTTATGAAGAAAATAAATCATCACTTAACCTATGATTAAAGTTGTTAATACTTCCTTAGGGCAGAGAAGGTTTTGCAGCTCCAGATCTAAAATATTATTTATGAAGCTTTCAGTGTGTTTCATCTTGGTTAGAGAGAAATGTCATGATTCAGGAGTGGCACGGTAGGGGACACTGCTACGTTTTATTAATGGTGTGAAATGTGTATCTGCCACAGGTGCCCTTGTCTTTCCAGCAGATCTTTGAGCTTGGGATACCGCTGTGGTGCTTATTGGCGTGTTCTCCTCTGTCACAGTTATTTTTCAATGATGTGTATTATGGGCAGTACAGTTAAGCAAAAGGAAAAGTTAACAGGCGTGATAAGGAACAGTAATGACTTCTTGGATATAAACCAGTTACTTCAGATAGGTTTTTTTATTACCAAAATACAACTTGAAAGCTTTTTAGGCAAACACCCTAAGAGCTGAGGCA